ACAGGTATGCACACAGGTGTACACACGGGTATTCACAGACGCGGACTACAGCTTTCTTGGCTGCTGCCTCAAAGCACATTGTGCGCTGTCTATCTTGCGTGCTGCACAATATCGTTTATTACTTAGCATCTACTGATATCTACTGCTAGCTAGTTTATTGTGATGGTGCCGTTTTTTTTATTATGTTGCTCTTTGTTGTTTGCTTTCTCTTCTGTTTTTTTTCTCCATACAGGTGACCCAGGTGTTTTGTTTGTTTTTCTTTCTTTCTTCACCCCCTTCTCACCGTCTCTTCTCCCCTCTGGTTTTCTTTCTCTCCCTCTCTTTCTTTCATTCTTTCTAAAAAAAAAAAGTTTATTGATATCTCTGTGTTCGTGTGGTATTTATGGAGCAGCCTCTTGCAATCAAACATTTGCTAGGAATGGGTATCGTTTAGGTTTTATCCGATACCGGTGCCAAATCGGTACTTTTGAAACTGTGCCGGTGCTCAAACGGTGCTCAAACCGGTGCTTAAAGAATGGAGAACACAAAATTGGTCCAAAAACCTCTCATGTTCAGCTGTTTTTTGTAAAAAGATAACAATGTTAGCCTTTTCTGCAGCTATAGGGCATATATGGTATCACTCTTGGCTGGAAGCAGTGCTTAAACAATGGAAAAAACACAAACTTTGTCCAAAAACCTCTCATGTTTAACTGTTTTCCACTTTTTCTTTGGTCATTTTAGCCTTTTTGGCCAGGGTGAAGGGAGTATCTGCCATCAAACAAGAAGACAGCCGCATGTAGCTATGATGATGTTTGCTAGTTCACCTTACATGCATTAATGTAATAACGTGGTTAGCCTACTCAACGTAAATTACACTCGAACAACATGAAGCTACTCACGCAGAGAAGAACGGCTGCTGCTGCATCATCATCCTCATCATTTCTGCTACACTGGCAGGGGCCAGGACTCTCCTCTTCGGGGTTTTTGGGGGATATTGCTAACTCCGGGTCAGATAACTGGCAACCCACGCACAGTAGATGCACTCGGTGTGAGGTCTCGCAGCAAGCTATGATACGGCGCATTTCTCGGCTTTAAAAAAAGCGCTATGCGTCGCCAGGTGTTTCATCGGATTTGAGGTGTTACCTCCTTTGACAGTATCACAGTATCAGCTTAAAGCACTTGTTGCTGCTGAGTTTGCATCTTTTGCTGTGAAGTACAGCCAGACTTTTGACCGCTTCGCCTTGAGCATTTTAATCTGTAGCTCTGCTCTAACAGAACGTACGTACCTGGCCCCGCCTACTATCCTCGGAAACGTAAAACGATTGGCTAGAAGTGTATCACAGCTCAGGAAAAAAAAGCACCGAAATAAAGCACCGAAATGTGCGCTGCTTTTCGGTCTGGTTACTACCGTTTATGTCAGAACCGGTGCCATCATGGCACCGGACACTGGTACCCATCCCTACCATTCGCTGATCAGAACTGGTTCAGAAGCACATTTCCTTCTCACACACAAATGAATGCAGCACATTAAAAGCATATCTGTGGTAGCTTTTATCCCTGCTGAGTTATCAAGTACTCTACATATTGCAGGCAAAGCGACAAACACTAAATATTTTAAGAGCTCATGTCAAAAGTGGCCAGGAAACCGAATGTGAAATCTTTGCTAGTTCCAGACTTGCAATGAAAAAGGTTCATGTGCGATGAAAACAGGTGTATGCATGCCAGTAGAAGAAGAGTGACTGACTTCAATCCAGACTCTAACAATCTAAAAATTCTCAACAGCAAAAACCAAATAAACAGCTTTCACGTGTAACTTTAAGGCTCCATTGCCTCACAGCAAGACGGTTTGGAGTTTGCTTCCACCGTCAGGTCTTTCTGTGTGGAGTTTGCGTGTTCTCCCTGTGTTAGAGTTGGACCCAGAAGAACAGGGTTTGAGTAGAGGGACGAGACCCTGCCCTGAGGGGAGGAGTTTAAGCATCTCGGGGTCTTGTTCACGAGTGACGGGAGATCGTCAGACGGATTGTTGCAGCGGCCGCAGTGATGCGGACGCCATGCTGGTCTGTTGTGGTGAAGAGAGAGCTGAGTGTAAAAGTGAAGCTCTCAATTTACTGATGGTTCTACGTCCCTGCGAGCTGTGGGATCTTTATGTGCTGAGAACATCAATATTCTTATAGTTTCCCATTTTTTGCACAAAACCTTTGGCACATATAGATCGTTGGAGAAAGAGTGAGCTGCTTATTTACACAGTGCTTACTAATGAGCATGCTAGCGGCTAACTTGCAAGTGTCGACACACCCACAGTGTCAGGGGAAGTCACAGAGGCGTGGGTATTCACCACACTGTTTCTTTTGCACAAAGGAACACTAAACTGTGAAAACACCAGGACATTTTATTATTATTAAACTTTTCTTTATTAGAACACTGTACATATAGAAATCCTTCATGTGAGAATTGCTCCAAGAGTGTTTCATTAATAATTGCAGCCCCGTGTTTCATCCCTTGGCTCTATTTCTTCCTGTTTTCTTCTTCCTGAGCTGCCTGAAGATCTTATTGATCTAAACTTTGCACAGCAATTATCAAAAACACTGGGGAGCACAGCAAAGTAGACACTTTCCTATTTCTTTTGCCTGTGCACACAACACGAGCGCGTGGAGTAGCAGGAACAACTTATACCAAACACTTTATATTAAATATTTTTAGCAGCAGTTTTGAATCGATAAGCATAAATTTATTTGCATAAGTTTAGTTGCTTCACTCGTCAGTTGTTTTGTTGTAATTGCCACTTACACTAATGGTATACGTTAGTAGAGGGAATGTATTTTGTGTACTGCTCCAATTATACTGACCATTGCAGTAAATCTTTATTACTGTTTGTGTATAATTGTGAATAAAACTCCAGACATTTGCAAACTTAGTCGTATAAAATTCCAATGACGAGAGGAAACTTATGCAGCTCCTATCCTGATCCCGTGTGCCATTTTTACCAGGTGCCAACTAAGTGAACACCAGCCTCCGGGAGTTATTGAGCGGACTCACTGCTTTTTAGCGCCCGTTTTCAGTATAGAGGTGAGGATGCCTCTGAGGATGCCTTCTGTGAATATTCTCCAAAAATACTGCCCCGCTTCAAAAGTTGTTTGTATGTCTAAAATATATTTACAGACATTTATATCTTACATGTTAATAAAGTTCAAACTCTGCTGGGTGCCAGGTAGTCCTGGGCTTCTGGGGCCCTGTCAACGACTCGTACCGGGGGGCCGGCCTCTAGCAGGGTCAGCTGGCCCTTGTCTCTGGTCCTCTGGGACTCTCACCTTTGGCTTCCACCCTTCGGCCCTCTTTGGGCCTTCGGATGGTCCTGGTCCCATGTCTGTCTGCCTCCAGGCCTCTGGGCGGCATCGCTGCAGCTTCCCACCATCATTATCAAATACATATGTGGCAAAGACACAGGCACTCATGCACACTGTAAGAAGACTGTTGATTCATGTATCTGTGTATTTTCTTATTTCTTGTTCTCCAGGCGCAGCAGTCGGTGATACATCGTGCACTTCTATTTGTTTTCTAACATGTAACTGTGCAGAATGATAAATGCTCATTTTTAATTTGATGGCAGGAGCAGGGCCACGCGTCACACTGTGTTGCATCACCTCTTATTTCAACATCAGTCCAAGTATGCGAGAACTGAGAAAACAGACGGCTGTACTTTTGAGCATCCAGTGGTTCCCCACTGATGCCTGACATCAGAGTTCAGCTGCAGTTCGCAGCCTCATTTGTTGTTTCGTAATACACCCATTTTTTTCAGTGTGCCACAGGTCTGGAAAGCAGTACACAATGTCATTTGCAATGGTTTTTCTGAAATAAGAAATCCAGTATAGTCCCCTGTAGTGCTCCCTCAAGGTCTGAAGACTGTAGCCATCTGTGCTGCTGATGCAGGGCCGCACCTCCATCCTCATGTCGGAAAGACTTTCTGCTCTTTTCTACACAAGCTTGTGACTAATTGACCTAATTGGTTATCAGTCTTCCAACAGCTATTTGTTTCAACATTACTGAAATGTTACACTGTTGTTGCCAGTGTGCAAACATATAAATACACTTCATAAACTTCAAAATGCTAAGAAGACAAAATTGAGAGATAAGGAAAGCCTGTGTAGAACACCGGTGCCAGTTCATTGCTAAACAGAGTGACTGAAAGCTTTCATCCTTCTCACATCCTGTGGACAGAACTGATCCAACTACCACTTTAGTGAGTTTGTATGTACTCACTGTTTCTGAAAATCTCCAGCTTACTGTTCCTTCCCGAACATCACTGCAAAACTGGTAAAGCTCTTCCTTGAAGCTGAGAATGCTGAGATAATCAAAGCTCTCCCAGAGTCCTCGTCTGAGTTATACGAGAAAACCGCAGCAGCATGAGAACGTTCTTCCAGCTGTAACAATCAATAACTGTCATTAGATATTTCCATAAAACAAACAAACACTACAGTGACGACTCAGCTTTGATCGGAGAGTTTTTCTGTTCCTCTGTTCAGACCTGATCTTTCTTCACACTGAGAGATGAATCGACCCCGCGTGGTCGGGCACAGACAGAGATTGATGCTGGACATCCTGCCTGTAATCCGTCGCTCATCTTGATCAATACGAAAACTGTGACTGAACTTTGTCCTTGTTAGGAAAAAAGACAGGTCAAAGGTACAGATACAGTACTCAATAATCAAACAAAAAGCCTGTTCTCCATCACATCGAGACTCTCACTCAGAGAACCAAGGTTACAGTGTAACCGCACGTTAACGTTGGCTTCTGTCACTGAAACACTTCAGATGTCCAGATGTGTGCTTCACCCACTTAACAGGCATTTATCCAGGCCACTTCGTGAGTGAGTCTGTAGCAGACTGACTCCACAGTGTTAGTGCTGTTTGATCCTCTGGGGATATCAGCGTAATGCAGATGCACCTTTAAGGTTCAGAAGTAAATGGTCTGTATTTGTATAGAAGTGAAGCCATTTTACAACAAAAAGTAGCAATATATCGACTTTTATTATTAAATTATACATCTATACAATAGATTCTTAATAAAACCGCAGCTATACAAATCATTAAGAAGTGAGCACATGATATTACCCATTGCAGTGTAACTGAAACTCTCAGAGGTATGCATTCATTCACAAATATGGGGATCATCTTCAGGCGTATTTGGAGGACATGCACAGAGAGGGTACACGGGCTCAGCCACACCGCTGTCCTTCCTCAGCTGGAGCTCCAGTCTTTGTACGCATCAGTGCACCGGTCCAAACATTTCTACGTGAGGGAAATCTCACTGCTTTGTTTTTTAAACATTTTATTCTGACATTCAGATCCCAGGAGAATGAACACTTGAGTTCATGACAAGATGCTAAATAAATGGCCGTGTTTCTGTCAGCTTTTCTTTGGACTTAACCTTTACGTTTAGCCCGTTAAGTTCAAAGCATAACTGATGGTGACAAAGACAGGAATGCAGCCAGAGAGCAGCTGAGCCCAGGATAATGAGATCAGTATGATAATGCAGAACTGGGCTCAAAAGGCTGCTTTTGAAATTTAGACAACGTGATTTGTTTTCTCTGGCATCACCTTCGTGCCCACTAGAAGCAAGGATCTAAAAAAGCAAAGTAGTCTCCATTTCCATCCGTCCTTTAATTTGCCTTCGTCACGTCCATTTGAGACAGAAACCACTGCACTCCCAGTAAATCTGAAAATAAATTCATTCCATCCGGTATGATATTGGCCGTCTTCTTTTATGCAAAAAGCTCTAAGCACCGCCGGTTAGTGCTCTAAAATACAAGCCAGATTAAACTTCTGCTCTACGGCTTTGGTGCTCCACAAGTGAATGCTCTATGAAACAACTCCCAGACATTTGCCAGCAAAGTTCGGACGTTCTCCTCCACGAAACCTCGTTACTGTGACTTCTGTGAACCCAAAACCTGTCGTATGAAGCAAACTGCTGTCTGTATGTTACTGAACACAAGCTGCAGGGTTGGAGGCTGTAACGGCTGCTACTGGCTGCCTGTGGTGTTTCACGTGGACCCTCTGCTTGATGATTACACCCTTTAGTCTTGTCACAAATAACTGCTATAAATAATACATTTCTCTCAGCTATTTTCTTATTTCTGCTACTTTATGACACAATTCACACCTTTTTTACACATTGCATCTCCTTCATTATGAACAGAAACAGCTGCAACACTCGCTGTTGACACTGAGTCGGCCTCATTTATCAGCTTTTTCTCCTCGTTAATATCACGTTTGTACGTTTTGTTGTTGTCACATGAAAGTAGCGACGTCAGATTCAAATTCCACCGATGTTCATTTATCCACGTAACACTTGGTGTGGCCAGGTTTATAGAAAAGACTGTGACGAGATGTTCACTGGTCCTCGTTGAGTCAAACAGAGAATAAAACAGGGCTTTACAGTGTGACTGATTGCTGGGCTATCAGTGCTCAGCACGAGGCTACTCTAAAGGATGCCATGGCGGCTACATCCACCCCTTACATATGTGACACGTCTGTGTGAGGTCGTCTGTGAGCACGGCAGCCTCACACGCTGGTCACACCTTTGTGACATGAATCTGGGAATGACGACAACACAAACAGGGGTTATTGTGGTCACTTCTCCCACTCAGAAACCTCAAATATGTGGGTGTGTGGACCCCCGTCTATGTGCTGAGGGTAACTTCATGATGTGCTGAACACTGTGCTGTGGGCACGCGATCAGTTTTTATTATCATGGTCATCATTATTATTATTTTCGTCCTGCAGACGTTGATAAATGAGGCCCTCGCTGCACATCAACAAAGAATCTATGGGCCTGTTCCATCTGTCAGTTTGCACGCTGCTATCAACCGCGCCGTGGTAAACAGCCTGTTGAAAGAAATGTTAGCGATGGTCACCCCTCGCCAACGGCTGCGCTCTAGAGACGATGAAATTCTATGAAATTCCCATTTTCTTCAGCGAATGACAATAAGCTCTTTTGTGGGGACATGTGCCTGCGTCTGTGAGGGTCACAGCAAGAACTCAAATCCAAACAGATATGCAAATCAGGCACTCACAGTGTCGGCAGTGTTGTCCCTTTGCTGCGACATTCACCCCCAGTGGAAACACAAATAGAGAGCAGCGGATGGATGCATATCTTACAGGCCTTGCCTACATTTCCTGACTAACAAATACAATTTAGTGAGTCCCACAGAAATGTGGAAATATTGTTGTGCACATTCAGGACGGTCGGCGGCTTCTGCGCTCGCTGCGCTCGTCCACGCCCCCGCGTTCACCCCTGGGAACGATCGACTTTTGCTTTACACATTTCGCAATGACGGAAACCACGGCAGCTTGATTCTGACAATTTCACCAACATCAAATACACTACGAGCTGCAAAGATTCAGCCGCCTGCTTTTACAGGAGCATTGAGAGTGGAGTCTGCTGACTTTTGCAGAGTCCCTGGGGAACTTCCAGGGCGGAGATATGCAGTGTTGTAAGAAATCCTGCGGCAGCACGTCCACCTGTGAGTCCTTTAGAAGAAAGAGGTAAGTTTGTGACATCGGCTGCACGCTGCAGTCAGATGTAGTATTCCTTCACGCTGTCTCTGACTGGGTTGTGGAGGTGCAGCTCAGTCCTGTAGTCTGTGTACATGCTGTGTCTGTGCTCCTCTTTGATGCTGCCGCTGCTCCTCTGGGCCCGCCGCTGCTGGTACACCAGGCGGATCACCACAGCCAGTGCGCACACGGTTATGAAGACCACTGCAGTGACCACACCTGGAAACGACGCAGGGAAGGCAGGTTAGATGATGGCGGTGTTGGTGGCCTCAGGTTTAAGTAGTGTTAGCAGTACGTTTAGCCCTGCACACATGTGGACACAGGACCTTAAAGCTGGGATTACTGCACGCTTGGTCTCTGATCGAATGATTTCTTTGAACAGTTCCTCTCAAGGATACCTGAACAGCATCAACGTTTAATGAGAGCACAAGATGTTACTACACAGGAGTCTGCGTACACTCTATATGTGAATAAGTGAAGCTTCCAGTGTGTGAAGGCTAACGACTCGTTAGTGATCTCGACCGACTATCGTACAGCTGGTAGTTTATCTTCATCATGGCAGCATAAAAAGGACTAGTTTGACTTTGGATTGATCCCAAAGGTAACTGAGTGAATACATCAGGACAAAGGCTGTTTCTTCAGGACTTCCAGCATCATTAGTTAAAACGACTTCACACTAGTACAACTTATTTGGATGCGTCCCCACGGGTCTGGGAGGAGACACACTGGTTAGAATATTCAAGGACAACCGAGGACTGCTGGAACAGCGTCCCTGTCCACAGTGGGGTTTTACACTGCGATGGACCAAGAGGGGGCTGACAGAGAGAGAAGGTCCAACACCAACAACTCTACATAATGGCACTGTACCAACTGTCAGCGTGATGCTGATGCATGGTTAACCTAAGCTAACGCTACCTTGCGAACGCATATATGTACATATTTGAGCCTGTATGTGTAGTCTGCATATACAGACTGTGTGCATAAGAGCCCCCCCCCAAAAAAAACCAGCCAAACCTATTTAATCATGTCACCTATGGAGAAAATAAAGCGTCAAATTACCACGACATTCATCCCCCGGATGAGTGGACGGAGACTTCTGACCAAAGCAATTATCTCTTTATTTCTCAGCAAGCTTGGTAAAAATGATCCAGACAAATTTTACGAACGACGATGAAGAAGCTAATCTAATCTACTTTCCTGAAACTGAGTCCACCTGGTCTGACAATGAGTTTGTCATGAAGAGATTTGAACACTCCTGCACACATCGTGTGAGTGAAATTTTAAATGGGTGGATTTTAACTCAAAGTAAGCAGCCTTCAGTATTAGCATCCCCTTTGTGCCTTTGAAAGGAGAATCAAACGAGACTGCCGTCCTCCTGTGACAAACATCATTGATTAGACATGATTTACAAAGATAATTAAAGAAAACAGGATGCATCACAATTTAATCTGCAGCCACAACAAAGAGATGATGTCAAATTTCCGAAGAGCTAAACTGAAATAAACAAGTTGAATGAAATAAATGTTTGTAACAATCAAAGCTATCGTATCATTTATTGATTGGAGCTGACTAATCCTCCAACTGTGATTGAATAATGTGACTTTTATTGAGAAATGTACTGATTTGTCTTCTTGTCAAGAGGCTGATGAAAAGACTGCAACCCTGTCAGGTGTCTGTGGTGAAGCTGAGGGATCAGTAACACCTCCGAGTCCCTGATGGTTGCCTGGAAACTGGTCTGAGCCAAGAAGCTGTCTCACGGTCACCGCGGGAGACAGCTTCCTTCACTCTTTGATGGTTGTGATTTCACAAAAACAGGTTAATTAACAACATTTAAATGAAATTGTCCTTATTCCAGCCTTTATGTTGAGCTCGACGGTGTTGTGTCTTCATATTTACCTTACAGACAGCAGAACAGATGCATATGAAGCAAACAAGCAAATGACAAAGCTGTTACCGGAAACAGGCACAGCGCCTCAGAGAATGAACACTAAAGATGATCACAGTTATAGGGCCTCTGATAGGCTTTATAAGTAATATCTGGGGACATGTAGCTATAAAATTAAATGCTTGCTTGTTCAGAAAACACACATCACAGCATCAAGTTTCATTTCAAATAAAAAGAAGGTTTAAGACACGATCGTGGCAATAAGCTCGAGCTGGGCCGAGTTATCGAGAGATAAGGAAAAAGCATTAAGACGGAGCCAAATGGAGAGAATGACAAATGACAAACAGCTGGGACTCATTTTCAATTAAGCAAAGGAAAAACAGGAGCACAGCACAGACCTGCTATTACAGCCAAATCCTTCTGGGTGCTGCCGGCACGCTGCTCTTTGTCTTTATTTGCATTTACAGCCTGATCTGCAGAGCAAAGAGAAACATCATCATTTTCATACGTACCATGTCAACTTCTCTTTACCGACTGGCTCCTCCTCCTGTACAACGAGGCGTCCATGACATGATGATTACATTTGGTTCATGAGAGGCAAAGACAAACAGTCTATTTAAATGTCTCTGCTTCTGAAAATGATTTTGAACAGCAGTACAACCCTGGAAGTCCTGATTTACACAATCCACTTTTACTGTGATCATGTTCTGTTTGGTTTGTAGCTCTTTGGCTTGTTGCACCGCTGTGACGTCAGCCAACGTTTCTGTAACACATCCAGTCCAGTGAGAACAGCTGTCCTTGTGTCTGGACTTCAGGCAAACGAGAAACTATTTCACATGCGGGTCGGGGTCATCTTCTTTAAAACTGATCGCTGTGAAAGACGCACAGAGCAATGCCAGCAAAAAGCCAGCTCGGTGTCGATACAACAGGAAAAAGCAAATATGGAAACCAGTGCTGCTATACTGGTCTTAAGATAACAAACCCTACAGAGAGCTCTGGCCTGTGTACATCCAATGCTAATGCTAACCACACTGTTATGGAAATATGATCCTAACCATCACAAACTGAAACAGAAACTCTTCAGTAGCTCAGCTTTGGTTTCATGTGGCCACGACACTTTTATCCAAGCCTTCTCTGAACCATCTAGATGTTCACTGGCAAACTCACGCTGTGGCTTCTTGAGCAAGGGGACTGTGTGGGGGCTGCAAGATTTCCATCCATGACGCCGTCGTGTTGCCAACGGTGGCGACTGCGTCCCGGCGTGCTTTAGGTCATTACTGCTGTGTGATTTTGGGCTGATCCACTACGATTCACGTCTCAGATTTTGATTCTGAGCTCCAGACCGAGGACAATAGATGGTCCTTTTACTTTTATTCCATTTATGAAGAATTGCACAGCTGATGGTTTCATTCTATCCAAATTTCTCAGATGACTTTAGTTCAGTTTTATTTATGTAGAAACAAATCACAGCAACGAGTTCCTCAAAGTGCTTCCAAGACTCAGAGTAACAGACAGAAACAATCAGCTCGTGTGTTTGTGAGTCTAAGTAAACAGATCATCAGTGTCATGGATGTGGATGTTTTACCTTGCAGAGTATGTGACTCGGCTAGCGCGCCACAATTTGATTGGACCAGCGGGCCACGGACGGTGACCAATGAGCTCCCGCGATTGGTCAGCGCTACCTTCAGTGGTGCGACATGATTAAACTGGACTGAGGAGAGGCAGCCAATGAAACCTTTAGAAGCTCCTTGTATCACTTCCTCATCAAAATTCTCCATTCCTACAAAGACACAGCCGAGCAGTGAGAAATGCTTCTGGCTTCGTTCGGTCAAAGCTGAATGAGAAGGACTGATTGCAGAGACTTACTGGTGACTTTGCCTAACGTCAGCGATCGTATGAGGATCAGCTCTGCGTCAGATGACAGTGTGTACTTTCTGTGGATGTCCTGGTTGATCTGGTTGGATAGAAAGAAATCAGATAACAAGGTGATTACACGAAATTCAAAGCAAGGTAACAGCAGCTCAGCGTAAGAGCGAGCTGTGTGTTCACTGCAGCCTCACCTGAAAGCAGCTACAGGTAGCTCTGAAGTGAGTTTGACCTTGTACCTCTGTGCCGTCATGCTGACTCGGAATAATCGCTTAACACGGTGAAGTGCAATAAAAGTGAAGGGTTTCAGTTTCCTATTGCATGAAAAGATGCACGCGATGTGCACACCTTTCCTCTTTAGATGATGTTTAGATGATGTCGTCATGTTAGTCACATTGTTTCACTCAAATAGCTACAGTGCTGTAAAAACGTCGTTGCACACTTCCTCATTTCTTAATTTTCTTTTGCATGTTTGTCACACTTACATGTTCCTGATCATCAAGTAACTTTGATCATCTGAGTAAATAATTTAAATGATGATTTCATTCAAATCCACACCTACCTGGTCCTCTGTGAAAACGTTATTTAAAACCTGACTAAGACTCAACCTGAGGTCAGCCAGGACCAGCACCATCACGCAACCTATGGATTCTGCTCTCTACCAGAAAATCCTGCAGGATAATTGGGATGGGAATGTTCCACGCAACATTAGTTCGATTCCTCGGGACTGTCCGTCTGGTTGCCTGTCACGCCATCTCGCTGCTTGCACTTGAGCTCCAATCAAGCAGGAAAGCAGTGGCGCAGCCTGCAGCGTGGACTTTTTATTGCAGAAAAGAACGAGTGCAATGGTAAAGTGAAAACTGCCAACGCAACACAGAAGGGAAATACCTGCAACATACGCACAACACTTTATCTACCTCACATCAATTACCAATTCAGAATTACCAGAAAGGCGTACTGGGAGGAAACCAAACCAGCCCCCGGGCCACGGGCGAGTCGTTTGGTACCGGGCCGTGAGGCTTCAGGCTCGGGTGAGAAATGATGGTTTTCAGGGTTTGTATCGTTTTGTTTTTTTAATCGTTTTTATCGCTAACTCGGTTTCCCTGGGTCTTTTCTCGTGTGTATGAATAAATCTTCCTCTTTTTTGGTAACGGTTTTATTTTGTTGTATTCATCCGCGACACCATAAAAATATTGCTGGACATAAACCGGTCTGTAGTGCAAAAGGGCACCGCCGCCCTGCAGAACTGTTCCACTGAGCGGGTTGATTGTAACAGCAGATACTCAACGTCTTGTGTACGGTCTAAACGTGGCCACTGATCAATGATGATTGGGCTTTGATCAGTGCATATTAATGACACAGCCCATGGTTCCCTCAGCGCTGCTGGTTTCAGTCAATGTCCTGTTTCTAAGGTTGGAAAGCTGCAGTCAGCTGAGACTGGAGGAAGACGCCACGTCCACATGAACAGAATCAGCCTTTTAGGAGTTCCTCACCTGGATGAGTGAGCATGCACTAAGATGACCTGATGGTTCAATTGTTTTATTAGGTCTGGTTATTGATTGGTTCTCTTCACAGCTGAAGTTTTTATATTTCAATTATTAGTTTTAGATTTGCACAAACAAAAATTCAATCAGGGCTCCTCAGTCAGTCAGTCAGTCCTGGTCCATGACTTTATGTGTCTGCTTGGTACAGCACTATCATACAGAAATAATATATTATATCCTTGGGCAGTTAATAAACACATCATATTCCTCTGGTAATCTAACCTCTGTTCAAAGACTCATCAGTTGTATTAATAACATTAACTGTTGGAAGGTCCAGAAACCTTTTAGATATTATAGTTGATCACATATTTACCGTCCCTGTCTCTTAAACACAGGAATCGATACAAATATATCAAAAGTTAGAAAATGTAATTTCAAACTGACCTAGAAATGTGTTCATGCCAAGTAGATTACTCTACTCACGAAGAAAACTTTTCTTGCTCATACAAGGAAACCCGACCATATCACCCAGATACTGAAGTCAGAGAGTTAACTTTAAAATCCATGTGGCCCCTCAGCACATTATGGACCTGCAGTCAGAGCCAGGGCTGTGCGATATGACCAGAATCTCATCTCCCGATATAAAACATCTATCGTCCGATAACGATGTAAATCACAAACATGTAACATTTTCTGTAAAGTCTGTGACTCTCGGGCAGGTGAAGTGTTTCCAGCTGCGCGTCGTGTAGCTGAGTCGAGTGTTTTAACCGATGCATGAAACGATACAATTTTAGACAGAAGTTGTAACGGCGCCGTTTCCTTTGTGAGTATTTCTTACACGGCGTGCTGCGGGGGAAAGCCTGCTCTAACGTTTGAGTCTAAGGTTTATTTTTTAGCACCTGGCGGCTCTTTTTTGCTTCTCATCCGTAAATAATCTGCATCTTTCACGTGATTCAGTTTATTTTGAAAAGTCTCAACAGGATCTTGAGCTTTATTGTGAAAGGTTTATGTGGAACATAAACAAGCGGACACGCCGTGGTGTTACCGTAGTTGTTGCTAACGACAACGCATAAAAACAGTCGCTTGTCCGTCCGTAGTGTGGTGATATTAAATATAAGAGAAAGAGAGAACTTTAAGAAATGAATAATAACTACAGTGACATCAGAACATGAAAAACATTCCTGTAAACAGTTTATTTTGCGACACCACGAAACAAACGATAGCGTAAAATGAAACGATGTTTTTATATCGTCATCTGATATACATCGTTGTCAGACTCTCAGGTCATCAGCTGTTCCCAGTAGATCTAAGTGTGCTGAGGGCCTGTTCCTGGACGAGCTGCCTGCTGACCTGTAAATCACATATATTCAAAAACATCCTCAACCCTTTCTGTCCTCACAGGTCTACACTCAGTAACTCTGGATGTGTGCGCATGCACGTCTTTAACGTCTTTAAATCCCCTTAAGACAAAACTACATGTGTTTTTCTTCTATGTTATCTTCAACACTGCATAATGAAATGTGCTGTATAAATAAATTGCCGCTGGATGCAAACAAACAGTGTTGAGTTCACATAAAGATGGTGTATGGTGGATGTTGCTGCTCTTTGAAGTCAGTTAGGTTTAGTCTCTTTCATTTTTGGGTCATGTTGTATTTGATGGGTGGCAGGTCACCTGCTCTGGTTTAAGGCCTCCCCGGGTAAATTGAATGTGTGTTATCAAAAAACTCTTCCAAAGAATATTGTATCTCATTCCTCACACGTAGGAGTCAAACTGGGAGAAGATTGAGTGCAGTGGGGGAATTACAGAGTTATGTGGGTCCAGTATGTTAGTTTTCTTTCTGGAGCTGTGATCAGCTAACCTGCTGCAGGCCTGAGGTCTCCTGCCCTCTGTGCATTTAGCCAAGTCAGGATACGCTGAATTTGGTAAGTGATACTGAAGAGCATCAGCAGCTTAAATGCTGTTTGATGATGCTACTCTTGATGTAACAGAGCAGCTAGCATGGATACAGCTGTGCATCTTATTCTTGCATTAACTCTGAATAACACAAAATGTAGTAATTTATTGTAGAAAACAGGTCAGAATATATACAAAACCCAGATAATCTACAACAGATTCGGATGATGAGTCATTCTACCTTTACCTAGCAGACAGACTGTGATATGTGACTGAACAGGAAATGATTACAAACGCACCTAAGACCAATCACACTTAGCCCTATACTCACATCATGCTTACACACTGCAAGCACTTTATACATCACAGCCACTGTCTAAGCTCTTGATCCAACATGCGTGTCTTTGGAGTGGCCACAGGGAGCCTGCACAGGGAGAACATCCAAACTCCACACCAAGCTTCAGAAGCAGGAACTGTCTCTGTGAGACAGCACGTCCTTATGCAGGACTTCCTGTACTGGTGTTACTGACCTGTACATAGAGGTTTTTGCCGACTCGGTGGATTCTGATTCGATGAAGACGTCCGTCTGCCAGATTACTCGGGGTGGGAGTGAAGACGTCCGGTTTCTTGCCTGTCTGCAGGTGATACCAGATCTGCACACTCCCTGGAAAACAAAGCATAAACTGTTACAGAGCAACGCGACGCTTCATCTTGTGCTCAGTGTTCGATGAAAACGTGGAATCTACAGGTCTAAATCCAATCTTGTACATATAACATTACCAGGATTCAAATATGTGTACCCTGCATTCTAATGGGTGATAAGATAAGAGAATACACCTGTCTGCTGCAAGAAGGGGACTGCCTATTTATAAATACACCACTACATCCAAGCTTCTTCAGTTACTCTCGAGAGTCTGCAAATATTTATCTCATAGCTCTTTGCTCTGAAAACTGAGCGAGTCAATATGTGCTCAGCCCCCCCTCCCCGGGCCCCACACACACACACACACACACACACACACACACACACACACACACACACACACACACACACACACACACTCGCTGCCAGATCAAAGAGTCAGAAAGCTATGCATTGTCAAGTGGAGCTAGGTCAATATTACAATTCCCAGTGTGTAAGTGAAGGGCTTTGTGTTGTGATTCATTTCAGATCCTGAGAGTGCTCCAACAGAGCAAGGTCACTGTGGATAAAGTGTCTCCCCTGCCCTTCACTGTTTACAGAGACCCATGCAATTTGGCTGCTCAGGTTTAACACACACGAGCGGATTAGGGCTCTGGCTAAAAACTGCACAGAGGTGTCACTCAATGTGGCACTCGCAGGTTTGGATGTAGCGTGGCTGTTCGCTTAAAGCTCTGAGGTCTTTGTTGTGTCTCAATCTGAAAAATGGAGACTCTGAGGTGATAAGCTGTAACATATGCAGGGACCTTTTCCTCCAGGGTCCAAGTCAAGCAGTGGAGCTCAGGCTAAAATATGAGCCTGATATTTTCTCATGCTTAAGCTAACATCATGTTATACCTCATAGTAACGTTAGTAGGTTAACAGTAACCATCCTAAATTTCAGTCTGTGTCCAAACAGTGTTTATTTCAGTCCCACAATTTATTTAAAGTGAAGTTGTACGTGATAAATAGCACCGCTACAGGAGATGTCAGTGGACTGCAGGTTAGATGTTGGGAGATCCTTCGGGACTTCCAGATACAGATGGGCAAACTGGTGACATGGGAAGCCCCCAGCAGCCTGCAGGCCTATTGCAGGGTACCCTAATGCAACCCACACTAGGGCTGGGCGAAATGGCCTAAAATCAATATCACGATAAATTGAGCAGTTAACCTCGATAACGATAAATGGACGATAACCACCCCAAGTGCCAAAAAAACAAACGTTTTTGTTTTCTTCATTTGATGGGGCTGTGGCAGGCAGCATAGTTCCTCCAGTTATTTTGATAATATTATTCCCTCTAGACCTATTCATTGCAATTATATTATTACCACTTTAAAGGGCTGTAAAATGTCACTGAAAATAAATGAAGACAATAGTAGTAAGTACTTTTAGTGGTTAAGATTTATTAACTGAACAAAATAAAAAGTGTAGGGTACAATATGTAACCATGCTCTCTAAAAAATGTAAACAAAATAGTTTAATAATAAATGTTTCACATTGGCTATTCACAAAGTAAACAATGATTGTGCAAATGTAATGCCATCATGGACAAAGGCCTATCTCTGCTAAGGCCTTGAGGTACTATAACTTGTATAACTTGTAAACAAATAATGTCTGGTGGAGGAAGACGTTTTTGCTGGTCCTCCTACTCTCTTCTCACTTTGAGCTTTTTTTATGTCTTCGAATTGAATCACATGGTTGTGCTGCAGGTGGTGGAAGAGGTTGGTGGTGTTACCTTGACTTGACGCAACAGTCTTTTTGCAGAGTTTACATTTAACAATTTTTTGATCAATATCATCCTTGTTGAATCCAAAATGTTGCCAAACGATTGATGATGCATTTTTTTTGTTAACAAGCATCTCCTCTTCCTCCTCCACCAGCTCTACCTCCGTCACTGCTGCTTCAACATTTAAATCGTCCTCCATTTGTTCACCCGTGTCTCGTCTTGTTACAGGTAGTAGAGTCATGTGACTCCACCCCGTCAAGTCTGTAACGTAGCACAGCGTCTTAAAGGGACATGAACATCGCCAACCTGCACATGCCTTTTCTTTTCTTTTTTTAAATACCGAATTTACCGACATGGGCAAAATGACGTCGATGAGAGTCATAAATTTCGGTAACGATAAATTTTTTATATATCGCCCAGCCCTAACCCACACTATAAGTTTTATCTGCACTGAAAGTTTTAGGGGGGCAGCACGGTGGCACGGTGGTTAGCACTGTTGCCGCACAGCAAGAAGTTCCTGAGTTCAATTCTGTGTGGAGTTTGCATGTTCTCCCCGTGTTTGCGTGGGTTCCCTCCGGGTACTCCGGCTTCCTCCCACCGTCCAAAGACATGCAGCTTGTGGGGATAGGTTAATTGGATAATCCAAATTGTCACTAGGTGCGAATGTGCGAGTGAATGTGAGTGTGAATGGTTGTCTGTCCCTGTGTGTTGGCCCTGCGACAGACTGGCGACCTGTCCAGGGTGTACCCTGCCTCTCGCCCCATGACAGCTGGGATAGGCTCCAGCGCCCCCCGCGACCCTGAAAAGGATAAGCGGAAGCGAATGGATGGATGGATGAAAGTTTTAGGCTTAATCTTAAAAGTAGAGAGGCTGTCTGTTTCCTGACTCCAAGCTGGGATTTCACAGAAGAGCGGCCTGAAAGCTGGAGACTCGGCCTCCCTTCTACTTTTAGATATCCCAGGAACCAGTCGGAGAGTTAGGTGCTCTGCTGGGTTTATGTGGTACTGTGAGGTCTGTAAGTTATGATGGGCTGATTATTCAAGACGTTGTATGTGAGGAGAAACATTTCAAATTAAACTTATTAAGGAAACAGATACAGAAAGACTATGGACCTACCAGCCCTGCCATAAACACTACTGCTGTTATAACACCCCGATTCTCCCAGTTATTTATTTCAAGTCAAGTTGTGCAAGTCCAATGAACAGCTTGAAATGGTACAAAGGTTACTGGCAGAAGTTCACAAAGGTAAGGTAAGCTGTTCTGCAGTAATGGAGGCCGATCAGGCCTGGGAAGCTGCTGCTACAGGTGCAGACCCCTCTGTCTGCATTAAAGCAGTGCTGGACACACTGTGGTACCCTCGTCAGCATCAGCTGAACAGGACTGTACTGCAGAAAGTAGAGACAGACCATCATATAACATTATATCATATTGTGAGGAATATGACGAGAATACATTTGAACATGATGTGAAAATGTCACATAGAGCTGTCACCGCATGTGTTTGCATGTGTTTACATGTGTTTACATTCCCTAATGCAAGACAGAGCTGCACGTCAGCCTCCGATAATCATTCCAACAACCTCATTTGCAAAATATTGTTCGTACTGAAGGTGGAAAGAAGCTGAGCAGAAGCAGACTCACCGGGAGGAGATCCCAGCAGCTGCTGATGTGCCGCACAAACAAGTGACTCCTCAGTGTCACTAGAGCGCCAGCTAGCTGCACTCGCTAGCTGCACTCGCTAGCTGCACTCGCTAGCTGCACTCCATGTGACAGGAAGTGAAACGAGGGATGGGAATTAATGGTGCAGTTACATGTAATGGAAAAGCAGTTCTTTAAACAGCTGCTTCAAAAGTTGGACCTGAGATTTAACAAAGACACAACTTCCCACATGAGCTTTACAATGTGACACGAACTCCAGGGCTGAGTGACTTCAGTTATTGTTAAACTAAAGTGTTCAGCAGTCACTTTGTACTTGTGTCACCGCTGTGGCGCCACTGTTAAACTATACTGCTGCTGCACACAGGCAGGGAGTGTGTGACCAGTGACAGCAGCTAACTGGGAAATCTGGTTTCTGCATTTACTTAATGCTGCGGCCACAAGCTGCAGGCACACAGAGGCTTTTTCAGTCTTCACAGATATCGTTACTGCATATATTGGGTATATCGCCCACCCCTCGTGTGCATGCTGTATGTGACCGGCTCTGCATCGGGCGATCCATCAGCTGGTTGGCCGGCGCTGACACCTGCTGAGCTGCCGCGACTGCGTTTGACTTTGTGACCCGCATAAAGTAATTATGTGCTTGACTTTCTCACGCTCTGATCTTCCATCAAAAGCACCAAGTGTCAACGGCACAATCTACACAACATTCAACAAACAGACCTTCACACATGCAGTGAGCTGTTGCTGTGCATTAAACTGAAGAGCCCTGCAAATATGACTAAATCGTTCTACTTTAGGCAGATTCTATTTTTTACACAATCGCTCTCAGCCTCCGAGTGAACTTGGAACCAGTTCACCGTCAAGGGAGCAATCTGCTGTGTAATTATGCATTATATCATTTGGTAACCATGGTAACAGGGATGTAGGCGTTCTCCCTGATACCAGAAAGGGGTTAAAAGAAAGGAAAACAGGTGTTGTGTAACTAACACGCTCCAATGCTGCAGGTGGGCGTGCTTAACCCCAACAAGACGTCGCAGTAACTGAGCTGCAGAGAGCAGAGACCATCGTTTCCACCTGTGGGATAAACCCTGTGTCTTCCTACCTTTTGTCTTTTGCGTGCTCGTGTTTGAACACAGGTGTGGGGAGCTGATGTCCTGCTCCATAAATCCATCTCCAGATTCTTTTTCTACCCATCCACCTTCAAATCTATGACACCCTGCTATCATGTCTACCGCTGTGGTTGACACCGCCTCCTTCACTGTTACCAGCGAACACCCATCCTCCCCACGCGGCCGTCCTTCAGACTCCTGACTGACTCAAATTCAGTTTCACAGCAGATACAGGTTTCGGTTACGTGTGAGCGCGACGCATGAAACAAACACAAATGGAGAACATAACAATGCAGCGTGGAACAGGAAATCAAAGCCATGTGGATGCATAAGTACTGTAAGAACGGGCCTCGTGTACTAACAGTGCCCACACACAGCTGTGTGCAAATCACGAGAACATTCATGGAAATTCTGAGAGTTATCCAGATTTTCCTGCCTGTAAATGCAGACGTCCCTCTGACCATGGATACAACTGACAGCCTGGCTGCCGT